CTGGCGCACCTGGAGCTCGTTCCCACAGGCCTTAAAGCCAGGAGAAAAGGCGCACATCAGGGGAGGTGGAAGAGGAGCTCCAGGCGGAAACTAATGTCTGTTTTGTTTCGTCTCCTCCTGTGCAGAGACCGACGACCCTCTGGACGAGTGACCAGCAGCCCTGCACGAGCACCGAGTGACCCACCCCCGAGCACCGTGTGATCCTATGCACAGACACTTGCGCACGTATAGCACCACTTGTAAATAAAGCACCCTCCTGGGGTACTTTTTGCCAGTTCTGTGTCTGTGGTCTCATTCACCCCGCGACTCTATATATATATATATATATAATTGTTTTGTTTTTTTTTAATAAAGTTTTTGTTTGGTTGGAAGCATGTCTCCGTCTTCTCATTACAACATTGAACTTATAGTGCTTGAGTATTTTGTTGGGTGCAGTTCCCAGGGTGGCGTAGTCATTATACAAGCTTGAGGTACTGCTCAGGTCACATCAGTCTAAGGTGAGTGATGGAAGACAGCTATTTTAACCAACTATTTTGTCCCATTCGATTAAATTTGAAATGTTATTTTCTAAAAATTTACTTAAAATCTTTTGACCACATTCCCAGAGTTGCTAATGGTGTCTTTGTATTAATCTGACTGATTTACAGTTATTAGTCATTATTTTCACAAAGGTTCTGATCTGTGATGCTTCTCAGTAGACACCAAACATGTTTGTGTTTGTTTGTTTGTTACATGACAGGTGAAGAGGTGAAGAATAAAAAGGGAAGACATGTCCCTTCAAATAAGCAAAATATATTGGATATTGCTGGATACTGTTGCTTGTATCCTGAAATGCCATGCTTTGACAATAAACTGATTATCACAAACCACAAATGTATTTTCTAGGGAAATGGCATGACCATGGGATAAATTGTTGCAGTTGCTAATTTAGCCTGAGGCTTGAAACGACTGAAGTATTTCTTAGTATTTATTAATATTTATTTAGTAAGTGTAATATCCTCTGGGCTTACTTTAATGTGTAGACACCAAAACTATTCAACACAGAAAAAAGCTACATTGTGCTTTTCAGGGCTAAATATATATTTGACCCAATATGTCCTAATAAATATATTACACAGTATATTTTATTTCCATCACAAAAAAGGTTACCCCAAAAGAAAAACTGAATAATATACATTGGAAGAAAGTTTGGCAATAAATATTAAAAGCAAAGATTTACCAAGATTTGTGAAATCCCAGAGGGCTCATAGTTAGATCTATTTTAAAATCATTCATATTGTACATATTTAATTACATTTATTTATTACAGTATGTTTTATGTCAAACTCTCTCCTTGAGACTCTAGCGCTCTGCTGGTAAACTGTGACATCTTCTCTCATGAGCTTCCTCTTGAGGGTGCATTAGGACTTAAACTATAACACATTGTCACACACTATGTTTAGAACTAAATTTAATGAATTTATCATCTTCAGGCTTATATTATAATGTACTGTATAAAGAAAAATAAGTTAAACCCACTTAAGAAAAAAAAAAGTCTTAAGTTATGTCATGATTTCCATGTCTACTATGTGTTAACAATATACAAAAGTTTCATGAAGATACAAAAAAAAAATCTATCTATCTATCTATCTTCACTGTAAAAAAAATTGGCAGGAATTCACAGGATTAAAGAGTATTATTTTACAATATGTTACTGTAGTCAGAAATTGAGTCTGAAATCAAAGCATGCTGGGTAATTTTCTTACAAATGACTGAATGAACAGCAGAATGATGCTAACATCACAGTAATTTACTGCTCTTGTTATACTGTGAATTTACATTATAAAGTTGTCTTTAACTGTGCCACTGTGAGAAATGTACTTGTTTACTGTAATTGTTTTGAAGTCACCATAACGGTGATTGATGATGCCATTTGTTTGGGCTCTTTGACCTTGCATATTCATATTCAAATTTATGATCTAATCATGTCAGAAGTGTGAAAAATGAAAACATTTGTTAAAATGATAAACTAGAATATGAAATAAGTTATTCACCTGACTTTAGGATAGTCAAACAATTCTTTACATAAACATGAAGATTTTATTTTAGCAGTATTTAAACAAGAAGATTAACCAATAACTTATTTCATGTTCATAACTGTTTGTGGATGGATCTTTCACAATAGTGAAGCAACTGCTGAGAAACCTCTTTGAAAGATGTGACATTAATACTCAACATACAAAACACAACAATGGTAACACTCAACAAATAAACACAACACTTACAATATAACCCAACATTACAAAATAAACCAACAACACAAACTGCTAAAAGTGAATTAAATCAAGTCCATTAGCACAAATAAAACCAACAAGAATTTAAAAAAAAAACTCTACAGCACGATCTATTCATGCTGCATTGCATGCTGAGAACCTTCATAGTACATATGCACTGTTGAAACACATTATGATGCTGTTTGTTTAAAGTAATTTCTGAGAGTGCAGTTAGATACAAGAGAACTCCCACTGTGAAACTACTGTGAAAGTCATGCAGTTATTAACCTGGAATATACTGTCATTTCACACTAAAGTTTTTACAGTGCAGTTAGTATGTCCAATCTACTTATTTTAAAAAAAATGTTCCCATGAGACTGGAAAAAAATTCTAGACTAAATGAAAATTAATAAGAAAAATCCTTCACATGTGAAACTGCTGGATCAGTATCTGCATTTGTCCAGGTGACAGTCTTGTTCAGGACGTGTTGTTTTGATTAACTTGTTTGGAGCTTGTGGAGTTTCCACTATCAAATACTGTACAATATAGAGAAAGATAAAATACACTTAGATCTGCTTTAATACAAGATAATAAATGAAAGCATTGACTCAATAACTTACTGTAGTTTCTTCAGTTTACAGTGTGGATCCTCCAGTAGAGCAGAGAGCAGCTTCACTCCTGAGTCTCCTGGTTTATTACGGCTCAGATCCAGTTCTGTCAGGTGTGAGGGGTTTGATCTCAGAGCTGAAATCAGAGCAGCACAGCCTTCCTCTCCAATACTGCAGTAACTCAGCCTGCAGAGAGTGAAGAACATGAATGATCTCTGAGATTGTGTTCAAGCAATGTCAGAGTGTGTTTGTATGAGCACTACTTTTTCTATTCACCAGGATGGGCGCTCTAGAGATTTTAACTTAATAAGAGTAACATTATAGTATAACTATGACATATAAGTCTTGTAGCATTTACATTTAGTCATTTAGCAGATGCTTTTATCCAAAGCGACTTACAAATGAGGACAATGGAAGCAATCAAAATCAACAAAAGAGCAATGATATGCAAGTGCTATAACAAGTAA